ATTTTTCTTTTTTTTTAATTTTTTGCATACATCAAAACATTTGTACAATTCGTCTTTAATTCATTCATATTGGAACTACACCTACGTGTATAACAAAGTTAAGTCTACCGTTATAGTATAACAGAATTGAACAGCACATTCGAATGACGCGCGCATTACTAGAAATTTCCACAGCCCCGTCTGGCAAGCCTGTCAGAGTGTGTGTTGCTATCCCCCTCGCACAAAAGATGTCTGGCAGCACAAAAAAAAGCATATATGTGTACATACATACATACACATGTACATACATATGTAATTTATAAATGGAAATTTGCCTGTCCACTTTAATAAACTCGATCTATAACCACATATGAGTTTAAAAAAATGCATATTCATATGTACATATATTTTTGCTATGCATATGCGCTGATGTATATACATACATATATATTTCAATCCACCCTAGAATGTGGTAAATTCTAGAACGAAAATTTGCAGCTTGGGCAAGAGTATACCAAGCAGTCAGCCAGTCAACACTTAGCAGTGTATTCACTCACTCTATTGATCAAATTGTAAAGAGCACAAGGGAGACAAATCGATTTCTCTAGAATCATCCAGAAGGCAGCAGACTCTGGGTATAAATACAGGCGGACTACTCACATCGCAGTCATTCGAAAGTAATAAGTGTTAAAGTGAAGTTCTCCAGTGAAAGTAAAAAAGTTTGATAGAGAAGATTCTCTTGAAGTAGTGCATAGTTGCTATATATAGATTACTCAACTGCAATGAAAAAGTGTGCAGAATCTGTGGGAAAGGCAAAACTGCGGAGCTATATTATGGCACGTCGACTGAAATAGTTGATAGCGCCCTTTGAGCTTTTTGCTGTGAGCAAGGAAAAGATAATCTGCTTGTCGTCATCGTCGTGGGCACTTTTGAGGCATTTTCACAATGAGGAAATGGTTAAACAGGAAATCAATGGCCAAGTTTTTCCCCACATTCGGCTAGAGAAATTACACTGTAGGCAGGCAGAGGCAGATGCCAGGAGCTTGTAACAAAATTGCTGAGGCAGGCAAAAATTATAGCCAGACCCCGGAGTGTATGTTCTGACCTGGAATTGAGGAGTTTGGAGTTTAGGAAGACAGGTATAAACCGAAACAGCGAAACCAGCTTTTTACTTGTTATACGTAAGCGAAATATGCATAAGGCCTAGTTTTATTTCTCACGTATTTGAAATTTGAAGCATTTATAAATGTGACGTCAGCGTAACTTTTACATTCCAAAGTAAGCGTTTACTCTTATATTGGCAAATATTGTGTAATTTTTTTAATATTGAATTCTACTGCGTAATACATATACTGCTTTCGAAGCTTCTAGAACAATTTTCACCCCATCCATCCGGTTATGTATACTTTTTCGGCCACATCAAGCAAATTCTCTACTGTTCGTTGCTTAAACCCCTGAAAGGAAAGCAGCTGGCCTGCTCTAACATGTAACAGCATTGTATTTCATGTACATACAAAACTCGTATACACGTATTTCTATCTCGCTTGCCCTTACGCAGACACCGTTCCGCAAGGCAAGGCAGCAGCTGCAATAAACTCACCTCGTGGTGGGTTGTTTGTCCCACCCATTTTCAAGTGTATTTGTGTGTGTTTCCATCTCTTTCTTTACGTATACATATGTATATAAAAATGACATGTATATAAGACGTCTTCTTTAACTGTCGCTTATAATTGGTAATTCTTTTAGTAACTAAGTCATAAGTTCTTTAGTCGTTTATAGCCTTAGTTGTTAATCTTATTTATAAACTGTCACTTTGATCATTGTTATACACGTTAACCAAGCAATATGTATTTCTTTCTCTAAACTTTATAGTTGGGCGTTGAAAGTTGATACGCGATCGAACTTGATCGCAATGCGTGAGAAAAACCTTACAATTAGCTCAAAATGCTGCTTGTTCGGTCCCATGTAGCCGTGAGAGTATATCTAAACTAAACTGCGACCAAATGTGTGTGTGTGTCGCGGCCTACACAGGGGTACTAAACATCGTTTTTATCAGATTGTGATTGCGTGGATTGAATATATATAGGAAGCCGTATCGACTTCTCTGCTCTGCTAAGACTTGTTCGAAAGAAAGGCGCCCAAATACATACGTTATATAAACGGTCGTCTATTATTCACCTACCATCGACCGTTATCTCAATACTGATCGAATAGATACAACACTCTACTGACATCGATAGATATACATATATATCTAGTATCTGGAGTAGCAACCGATTGCGCGTTCATTTCGCGCAAAGCCTAAACTGTAGAAAATATTTTATTTACTTTATATTTTTTTTTTCTTTGTTAACGTAAACATTTACGAGCACACGACAAGCGTGGCTTAACTCATAAAATACCCGAAACTGTAAAAAAATACGAAACAATTTATTTCTTCTGTTTTTGTTTAAATCCAAGATTTAAGAAAACTTGTCTATTCTTGTAATTACATTTGTCCAACTCACTTAAAGAAAATGAGAAGAAAAAAAAGAAAAAAATATGAAAGAGCTCACCAAACAGAAAAGAAGCTACAAACAAAAAAGAATAAATGAAATCTGAGATCAATAAATTTCGAAACAATTGTTCGCCATATTTTTATTTTAAGCTTAAATTCTAAAAGAAATTTCAGTCGAATCATCATAAGCGGAGGAAGGGACACAGATCTAAACCTAAATAAACCCCCAGGTTTATTCACAAAATAATTAAAAATCTAAGGAAGCCACACTCACATGCTTTTTCCGACGTAGCATATACAAATCCTCTTATATATGAATAAAAATCTTAAATATATTTTAGCGACTCAGTTAAAATATTAATAATTCATATATTATCATAAAATATTAAGGAAGATTTAATCTTTAAACCAACATTATTGAAAATATGTCTAAGAAAACATGCGTATGGTACATTGACGTTATTCAGAGCGGTATATAAAATCATTAATGGTAAAAAGAAAATTGATTAGATTTCAAAAGCTATGAACCTTATTTGAACATTTTCTGAAGCTAAGAAATGAAACTTATAAGATTTCTAGTTTTTAACTATCTCAACTAATATTTATCCAACATATTCGAGTTATTATAGTAATATGTACTCCTACATATATGATGGTTAAATAAAGTCGAAATTTAAACCAAATATTTCACGATTTTTCACAATTCTCGACGATTTTGTTGAAATGATTATAAAAGGGTCTATTCATACATCTTTGGTTTTTAATTATATCACAGACGGAGTTTAGCGCCCAAAATATTTCTAGTAAAACTTAGACAATTCTTACAATTGCGATCGCAAATGTTACTGAATTATGAAACTTCAACATCAATAAAAAAAAAAGTAATATAAGCCCCCCTACACATGATCCTGCATGAGGATTTCTGCAGCTACTAAAAACACGTTTTCTATACACCAATCCGTAAAAACCTTCCTAAGTTCTTCAAAGGTTCACAATTATAGTCAAATTGAAACTGCAGCTGCCACCATTTGTGACGTCTGCATCTTGATTTTATAAAAAGGGCAATATTTCTAAAGATTTATTCAAAATTTTGAACAACCCTCTTAATGAATTATTTGGGAAATTACAAATCTATATAAAACCTCGTCAAATTACGAACGAATATAAAAAATTCTTTTACGTGGGAGCTTCGAGTGAAAATACTAAAAATACTGCCTTTGGGCCAAGAAAAATATAATAGATGAGATATGATGTGCATTATATTTGACAACTATTGATAACATGGCCTAAAGAGATAGGCTTTATCCAAAACTTGCGTTATAGAAAAACGGCCCATACTATATTTACTTAATATCAAGGAATTTATAATACCACCGCCAAAATAACGCATATATACGTGAAACACAAAACTTATTTATTCTGCGGTATACAATACGAGTTCAATGAACCGAAAATATAAAAATTTATAGGTGGTTTAAAATATTAATTTTCCTTGTGAACGGAAACAGCATATTATATGGTACACTAAAACTAAAAGATAAAATGTAGATGAAAAAGAAATATAGGAACGCAATCTGCGACAAAGTGGGAGATAATACTGACAAACTATAAACATTACCCAGTGATACAATAAACTTGTAGAGTTTATGAGCACTAAATTCCATACAAGGTAGGTGCTACACTAAATATACGTAAAACTAAACTTATTAAATGGTACACTAAAACTAAGTAAATATAAAGAGTGTGTAAAGACACAATAACCCTATTATGTAGGAGGTACACAAATACTGCGTAAAACTAAAAAGTGTGTAAAGATATAACTTCCCTATTAAACGGTCCACACTACGTCAAACTAAGGAGTGTGTGAC